ATGTTAAAATTGATTACGGACCCGGATATTACATTAAATTTTTTTGTTATAGTAAATTTTAAAGAATTAAGAGCTTTCTAAATATAAACTATAGCCTAACTAGAAACTTTCAAATGTAATGAATTTTAAAGAAATTAAAAAAATAATAATAATTTAGGAAAACTAACAATATTAATGGGTATGAGCGTAATAATTTTGAAAGTAATACTAATTATTACAATTTAGATTGTAATCGTGTTTTATAACTTAAATTTATGACGATTAATTTTTAAACGACTAATTTTTAAATATCTGTACTTTATACATTAGAGATCGATTAAATATAGTCAATTCAGGCTTCCATTAGAATAATTTAGATTTTTTTTATTGTAGTCAATTTAAAAGAATTAAGAACTTTCAAAATATAAACTATAGCCTAACTAGAAACTTTTAAAAGTAATGAATTTTAAAGAATTTAAAAAAAATGAATAATTTAGTAAAACTAACAAAATTAATGAGTATGAAGGTAATAATTTTTAAAGTAATACTAATTATTATAATTTAGATTATAATCGTCTTTTATAACTTAAATTCATGACGATTAATTTTTAAATGTTTATACTTTGTACATTAGAGATCAACCAAATATAATCAATTCAGGCTTTCATTATAATAGTTTAATTTTTTTATTACAGTCAATTTAAAAGAATTAAGAACTTTCTAAACATAAACTATAGTCTAACTAGAAATTTTCAAATGTAATGAATTTTAAAGAATTTAAAAAAAATAAATAATTTAATAAAACTAACAATATTAATGAGAACGACCGTAATAATTTTGAAAGTAATAGTTATTATTATAATTTAGATTATAATCGTATTTTATAACTTAAATTTATGGCGATTAATTTTTAAATGCTTTCATTAGAATAGTTTAGATTTTTTTATTATATTCAATTTTAATGAATTATGAATTTTTTAAACATAAATTTTAACCTAATTAGAAACTTTTAAATGTAATAAATTTTAAAGAATTTTAAAAAAATAAATAAATAATTTAGTAAAACTAACAATATTAATGAATACGAACATAATAATTTTAAAAATAATATTAATTATTATAATTTAGATTATAATTATATTTTATAATTTAAATTTATGACGGCTAATTTTTAAATGTTTATATTTTATATATTAGAGATCGATAAATTATAAAAAAAAAATTATAAAAAATTTATAAATATACAGAATAATCTTCTCATCCTACCATATAAATTTTAGGTTAAATTATATAATATATGTAATACTATAAAGCACATAGTATTTTCTATTTATTCCTCCTCCATACACTAGCTGGGGACTTGAAATATTATTGGCAATTTGGGACGTAATAAAACGTTATGATTAAGATACATGAACAATTTGCACCCACAATTTTAGGAGAGACCACATAACACACGCATTTGCCAAAAGACAAAAGCCCATACTATACTTTGCTGACGTGACAAAAACCCATTTGGCCACATGGCCTCTCAAAAAACCAGATATACATCCTAAGGTTCATATCACACCATTTCGAAATAAAATCCCACAATTATTCTAAACAAATAGTTTCCAATATCAGATAAAACCACCATTTCGAAACCAACACCCAAGCCACACAAATCTATACATACATTAATGTTATACGTATTCCTCTTCTAACCAACACTTGAACCACAATGGGCTGCGCTTCCTCCAAACGTGTCAAGGCAGCCGTCGATGTCTACCGTCCGCCTCCTTCCAGCTTCGCTGTCTTCGACATCAACGCCATACAGGAGCCCTGGCTCATAGTTGAGAATCCGTCAGATGACCAGCAAGACAAATTACAGTCACTGCCCGCTCCGGTTCCCTCCACCATCCTTCAGAAGCTCGAAGACGCCGGCGGCCCCCGCTCCTGGGATGAGGTCAGCAAGGCCCTGCAAGCTCACCTCAAGACCCCTGTCGTCCCCCCAGTCCAACCACCTCCAACAGATCACCCACCCAAAGAAGCTCCACGTAAGAGGTCCTCCTTCCACACCCTCGAGGAGCTCGATGCCAAGTTGTCTTCTAAGCAAATACCCACAACCGAATTGAGGAAACTCGAGTCGAAGAACTCAGCACCGGAGCCCCCGAAGGAAGCGACGACGGGTCTCAAGTCGGTAAAAGATAACATATTCATAGTGAGGGACAGGCAAGAGAGGGAGAAAGAAGGAACGAAGGTGGCTCTGAAATGGGACCCACTGAGCGAGTTCCCTGAGAAGTGCCCTGCTGGTGGAGGCGACTCGGTGGTGGTGTACACGACGTCGTTACGAGGAGTCCGACGGACGTTCGACGACTGCACGCGGGTGCGGGACATACTCGAGTTGCAGGGGGTGGTATTCGAGGAGCGGGACGTGTCGCTTCATGGGGAGTATTTGCGGGAGATGAGGGAGTTGGTGGGGGAGGAAGTGAGCGTGCCGAGGGTGTTCGTGAAGGGAAGGTACGTGGGTGGAGTGGAGGAGGTGAATGAGGTGAACGAGTCAGGGAAGCTGGGGAAGATGATGAGGAGGGGAAAGGTGGAGACAAGGTCGGGAAGAGCAGCGTCCGAGGCATCAAGAGGGACGACGGAATACACGTGCATGGAGAACGGTGGAAGTTGCAAAGGTGTTTTTGGAAAGGGGATAAGAGGAGGGCGCTGTGGAAAGTGTAACGAGAATGGATTGGTTTATTGTCCTGTTTGTGTATAGACGTCAAGGTGTTTTTTTTTTTTTTTTGTTTCTTTGAAGATTATTGGTATTTTATGTTTTCAATTCAGAAGCAGGGGAAAGCTACATGGAAATGGTTTGAGGAGAAGTATTTTAGAATATATATATATATATATATATATATATTATGAATGGTAGGTGAATGGTAGTTATCGTTTGAAAAGAAGGGAATGAGATTAAAAGTAATAAAACCACAGTCATTTGTTTGGTGGGTATTTGAAGATGTAATGATGTAGAAACATTTTCATTTTTGCCAATTTTGTCCCAAGGAAAGTGAAATAAAAATGTATTATTCTCTCCTACATTTCCATAATCCGGAAAATGTCAGAATTAGGAAACTAAAATGAAATTAGCTTTACTTTCTAACCACGGCCGCTGAAAAGAAAGAAAAAAACCAAATTCAGGGCCCAACCGGGTTCGAACCGGTGACCTCTTGATCTGCAGTCAAATGCTCTACCACTGAGCTATGGACCCCTTTTGATGCTGAGTGAGAAATATTAAGTAAAGAAACAAAAGCAAACAAAAACAGAATCAACATAAGAGTAAAAAGGGCCCAACCGGGTTCGAACCGGTGACCTCTTGATCTGCAGTCAAATGCTCTACCACTGAGCTATGGACCCTTTGTTGTTCGTGGGATTATTTTATCAAATAATATTTAAATAACTTTTTTCTACCTGTGGTTAAGAAAAAAATAACTTTCTTTTGGTGAGCAAGAAATTTTAAATTTTTACTTGTTTCATAAACTGAAAAAATTCAGAAAATATAAAACTCATCTAAGTATATATATATATATAGCAATACCAAAAAAAAAAAGCGTCACATGATGCTATTAGTGTTATTTACAATTATATAAATTTTATTAAGATAAAGTTTTAGATATTATTATCTATTTAATATTTTAAAATATAAAAGCAAAATTAGTATAGTAATAGATATAATAATTATTTATTAAATTTTTAAATATAAAAAAATCTTAATTGACTACAGATTATGCATTATATAACTTTTAAATACAAAAATAATTTTGATGATAAATAAAATCGTTGTCTACCTAAATTTTCTAGATATAAATAAAATTTAATTTTTAATTAATCATTAATTATATACTATATATTTAATTAATAAATTATATCCTATGTGTATAAATAACAATATTAAAAAAAACACTGTTGGATTGTACTATTTTAGGTATCTTATAAATTCTTTTAAAGGTTAGTATCTATCAAGTAAAAGAATAAAATAATTCTTCATAACTTTAAAAATAAATGTAGCGCCGGGAAATTGAAGAAGAAAAAAAAAAAAAAAAAAAAAGGGGCTACGTCAGCAGCCAGTCAGCAGTCCCGGCCAACCGGGACCTGCCACGTGAAAAGACCACGTCGATCCGGGACGGGCCACGTTGGCGATCCGCGTATGCGCGATCGGACGGTGCAGATCAACGTGCGATCGGACAGCTCAGATGCATCGCACGGACGGCCCAGATTAAATAAAAAACGGACGGCCCAGATTAAATCAAAATGGACGGTTGAGATCAAAAGGCAAAAAGGTATAAATAAGACCCCAACACCAGACCACAAAACCCTAGCCGCCTGCCCTCGCCGGAGAAGACGAACCAGAAGCCGGCCGCCGCCACCCGCCGCCGCACCGGAGGGATTTCCGACTGCCGATCGAGGTAAATTTCATACCCCGACTCGTTTTTCCACGCTGATTTCCCCTGT